AAATCTCGCTCTGGAGCGTTCGAAACCTTAGATAACAGCTGGATTTTCCCGTATTCGCCCATTCTATGTAAAATGTTTAATGCCCACATTAATGTAGAAGCATATAGCTCTGTCCGCGCAATCAAGTATATCTTTAAGTAGTATATAAAGGAAGCGACCAAGCAATATTTAATCTCAGGAGTAAAGGTGAGGCAAATCCCGTCAATGAAGTACAGACCTTTCAAGCAGGGCATTATGTCAGCAGTAACGAGGCAGCGTGGCGTCTCCTTGGCTTCCGTTTACACGAAAGGCACCCAACAATTACTCACCTTGCTTGTGCAATTAGAAATTGGAGAGCGTGTATATTTCACCGAAAGAAATTTCCAAGAAAGTATTGCATCACCGCCAAAAATTACACTAACAGCCGTCCATGTAACTAATTTTGATGTTTCTGTTTACGATTGCTGCTGCACCATGTTCGGGGTCCTATAGGATATAAAGACCTTAAAACTGTCAACGTTCAGGAATGCGCAACTTATAGAGAAGCATGTGAAGCTCTGCATCTTTTAGAAAACGATAATTACTGGGATGAAACCATGGAGGAAGCTGTGCAGTGCCAGTCACCAGCCAAAATTAGGGATCTTTATGCAACTCTCATATCATCTTGCGGGCTGTCTAATGCACATGCAAATATAAAGAATACATGGCGGAAGATATTTTGCGAAGGTTACAGCAGACACGCGCGAACATGACATACAATGAACACATTTATAATGAAGCACTTGGAAAAATTGAAGATAAAGTAATGGCAATGGTAGGCAAAAAATTAAGCGACTTTGGAATGATAAGCCCTCAGCGAACAACTGAAAGTGAACTAAGTGATAAAATTATACGTAAAACAAACTACGACATACCAGCTTTGCAGCAGCAAGTAGCCGAATTTGTACCCCGCTTGCTTCCCGAACAAAAACGAGTTTTTGACAAAGTATTAGGACAAATTGAATCTGGAAATGGTGCACTTTTCTTTTTAGATGCCCCTGGAGGAACTGGGAAGACATTTTTGTTAAATTTATTATTAGCGCAAGTACGGAAAGATAAAAACATTGCTGTGGCCGTAGCTTCCTCCGGTATAGCCGCCATGCTGCTAAGCGGGGGCCGCACTGCACATTCTGTTTTAAAACTCCCTCTAAATCTAGCCCAGGAAGAATCGCCGATCTGCAACTTTAGGAAAAATAGTGCACGAGGTATAATGCTACGACAATGCAAACTTTTAGTGTGGGACGAAAGTACAATGTCGCATAAAAAAGCTGTAGAACCACTAAATCGAATACCGATGTAATGGGAGGAATGGTGGTTTTACTGGCTGGTGACTTTCGCCAAACTTTACCTATCATTCAAAAGGGCACACCTGCAGATGAAATGAAAGCATGCCTCAAGTCGTCTATTTTATGGAACAAGGTGACAAAATTCATTTTAACTACGAATATGAGAGTGCATTTGTGCTGACACACTATTAAAAATTGGCGATGGGCGGTTGGAAACGGATGCTGAGGGCTGCGTTAAATTGACGAGCGATTTTTGTAATTTAGTACATAGTCATTCCGAATTAATTGCAAGCGTTTATTCAGATTTAACGAACAACGTGCATGAAGACAAATGGTTATGTGAAAGGGCGATTCTTGCACCAAAAAATAAGAGCGTTAAAAGAATAAATGCAGATATATTAAGCGAAGCAGCTGGAGAAATAATAGAGTATTTGTCAGTAGACACAGTTATGGACACAAAACAGAGCACTTCATATCCAGCAGAGTTTCTAAATTCTCTAGAGTTGTCAGGTGTGCCCTCACATAAGCTTCAATTAAAATTAGGCGTCCCAGTCACGCTAATGTGAAATTTAGATGCTTCTCGGTTATGTAACGGGACAAGACTGCGTGTTGTTCTTGGAAGGGGCATAATCGGTGCTACAATTTTGACAGGCATAGGAAAAGGTGAAAATGTTATTATACCACGGATCCCTATAATTCCCACAGTCCTTTTGCAATTCAAAAGGTTGCAGTTCCCTATTAAGCTCAGTTTTGCAATGACAATTAATAAAGCGCAAGGGCAAACGTTACAGGTAGCGGGGGTTAACTTAGAAAAACCGTGATTCTCTCTGGTTAGCTGTATGTAGCGTGTTCGCGTGTGTCAAATGCCCAGAATCTCCACATTCTTTCCCCCAATGGAAAAACATATAACATTGTGTACAGTAGCGTCTTAAAATAGTGTTCAGTTAGTTTTTTTTCCAAAATTCCCACAATCAGTTAATCAGAATTCCAACAGTTCTTCCCTTTCAATTCAAAATTTCCTATTTAGCTCAGTTTCTTTTGAATTCCAAATGCTGCACTTCTGACGGACCTATTAAGCTCAGTTTCCTTTCAACTCATAAGTCTGCATCTCTGACGAATCTTTTATTTGGCTCAGTTTCCTTTCAATTCAGAAAACTGCATCTCTGACGAATCAATTTAGCTCAGTTTCTTTTCAAAAGTATGCATCCCTGACGGATAATTATGCTCAGTTTCCTTTAATTAAAAAAATATCCCATTTCCATTTGGAATAAACAGGCTATTTTCATGCTTTCCTATACGCTACGTTTCAAAACATTTAAATAGGCTAACGAATAAATTTTGCTCAGTTTCCTTTCCCCTAAGATACCGTGGACATGTTGACAGGTCCAAGTTTTGTGACCGCTAAGTACCGGGGACATGTATACATGTCCGCATTACGTGCTGCTATTTTCGTCATTAATTGATATAAAAATACAGTATATTTTCGATTGAACACTATTTCATTCGATTCTGAACGAACTAAAGAATATTCTGTAGCATTATATTCATTCGTCTACATAGACATCATCAAATATAACAGCCATTCGCTTTTGCGTGCCGGTGAGGTTGATTGCGTAATCGTTGAAGTTTTGTGATTGTGATTTTAGTTGGATTCTCTTTCAAAAAAACTGTAAGTAATATTATTTATCTTTACTTCGTAATGTTTTTGAATGATTAAGTTACAACAATAGTAACTTTTTATGTTTCAATTGATAAAAAAGTAGAAATAAAAAACCTCTACGCGAACAATTCGTAACGGTCAAGATTTCTAATAAGATTCTATTAAGATAATAATAGTATATTTCTTATTGGAATACCATAGTAAATACTTTTACTAAATGTTATATCTATATGATTTTATAAGAAAAATAAAGAAAGACGATATAAAATATATACACAAAAAGGTTTTGAAAATGAGTTTAGTAAGCGCGCGCAAACTGTCTATTGTCGAATTTTTAGCAAATGTTGCAAGTGAAAAAGTAGAATTATTATAATTACATGCATAATTTCGGTTCATTTAGGAAGAATATGTTGTATTGATTGTAAGGACATAAAAATAAAATAAAAACTTACGATATTTCATTCATAATATAAAATTTATCGTCAGTAAGTACACTTTAGCAAGATCCGTTAGAAACAAAGAGCTGTACAAAATAACATAAACATTTATATGTTATGGTTATTGTTTTTACTTATCGAAAATCTTATCGGCTTTAAATAACTGTAACTACAACCTCTTTAAACATAAATGAAAGGTCGTGAGAAACATAAATATTTAAAACAAGTGCCGCCAGCTGAGGTGACGACGGACGCCTCGGTACAAAGCTGTTTTTTGTTATGGCGGGCGCAGTGAGTGATAGGTTAATGGCTACATCTCTGACAAATCTATAAAACTCAGTTTTCTTTCAATTCAAAAAGCAATGGATAGTTCATTTCCCAGTGGCCATGCGGGCGAAGCCGCGGGTAACAGCTAGTACAGTGAAATAAGGACAGAAGGGGAGTTGATTGAGCGACAGGATTAGTTTATGTTCTTATGTGTAAATTTTTTCACAGCGAAAAGTTTATATTTCGTGAGATCAGTAAGAAATGTCATGAAATACGTATTCGATTCTCTTGCAGCAGATTTTTATAGTAAGGGCATCAATAAACTAAACCCGAAATAGCAAAATGGCTTATTACGAGAGTTTAGGCAAATATTATTTAAAATACATTAAAAGTGTTAAAATAATATTTTGACTGATGCCAATGGCATCAACAATATTACAGTGCATTACGCCTGGCATTACTGTTTATTCCCTGATTAAATTTACTGTGGTATAAAATAACACCGTACTCGTATTAATTAAATAAAAGAACTTGTGAAAAAATATAATTTCGTTTACAAATAAAAGACTTGCAGGGAGGAAAATCTATCGTAATAAAGTTAATTCAATTTTACCGCCTCCATCACAAATTTCTAATTTGTATTTAGAATACAGAAAATAAAGGTAAAGTTACAGCCTATATACGTCCCACTACTGGGCACAGGCCTGGGCACAGGCCCGTCATTTCTGAGAGGGTTTTAGGGCAAGGAAGTGTCCGCCGCGCTGCCCCAATGCGTGTTGACGTACTTCACATGTCTTCGAAATATTTTTTTTCTTATTCCTCAGACATGCAGGTTTCCTCACGATGTTTTCTTTCACCGCCGAGCACGTGGTAAATCAGCATTTAAAATTGCAATTAACAATTTCATTGGTGCTGGCGGGGATCTAACCCGGGCTACTCGCGTTTTTTTATATTTACAGCGAGCTTTAACAATCTGAGCTACCACGGCTCTCTGAGCTACCACGGCATTCGACCTCGGCTCGACCGGAAAGGTCGAAAGGTGCCCGGATCAAATTGACATGAAATAGTATTAAATATCCAGTACCTTTATGGTAATGATAGTAAATTCGAAATGTTTGTAGACAATGTTTAGGTTTATATTTACCTAAGCAAAATATTTAATTATAGCTTAATACTCGTGTACATCTTTACTATTACAATAATTTTCAGTTTCCAGGAATCACTCCAACCGCTTGCATTTTATATATTTCCATATTAAAACAAATATTAATAATTATTCTATCAAGCTACGAGAGTGAAATGATTTTTATAACATTTAAAAATATCAAAACTATGTTATTAACCACTGCTATACCTAAACATTGTTCGGGTGAGTACCGAGAATTTACTTATTTATTTACTCGTATATAATTGTGTATTTTTATATTATAAATTCAGGCAATTATCTTATTATTCCTAAAATTTCTGTAACCTATTTCTGTGAAGCTAGTGTCTTCTCTGTACACCGCCGGTTACTTTCCCTTTCTCCCAAACCCTCCGTTGTTTGGTCTCCCTTGCCGAGGGATTCCATCTTATTCAGTACAATATTTAATATAGATTTATCATTTTCTTTTATATATTTATTCAGCGAAACCAGGTGAGAATACTATATGAATACCCGTACCCATAATAATAACAATATGATAAAATAATAATACAGGATCAGCTTATTACGAGTAAGACCAACAACTATCGGAGATACATTCTAAAGGATGACACCGTCGACGTCTGAGCTTGTGGCCATCCCGGGGAGTTACTTAGACATGTCATCTCCGGTTATTCGGCGCTTTTTAACTCTGAGTAAGTACTTGGGCTAATCCCGGTCAGCCTCTCGGGTCATCTGAGGCGATTGGGACTCCGTGACGGACCGCTCCGGGCCCAAATGCAGAAGGCAGTGGTCTTCGATACCGCTCGCATTGTCCGCCGGTTTCTTTCCCTTTCCCCCTAACCCTCGGCCGTTTGTTCTCCCCGGCCGGCATCTGGTTGGGCTTTTATTTATTTATGTATTTTTTGTATTTATTTTCTTTTATTGATATTTATGTATATTTATTACTTCATTTTCATTTATAATTATATATTTATAGAACCCAATCAGATGAGAAAACTATATAGATACCCCAAATAATAATAATAATATAATAAGGCATAGGGAAGTGACGACCCCTCCGCCCGCTGACATAACAGTTATGTGACAAAACTGCTACGTCGGCGCAGTCAGTCAACACCCTGCCAAGAGATGTGAGTGCAAAAGTCCGTTTGTGCATATGACCGAACCACGAAACGGTGCCGGGCTTGGGCGTCTCCCGTTAATTGTTGCCCATAAAATGGATGATGGCACAAAGAACAACGCGCATAGGGCCGCTGTCTGGAGATCATCAGGGCGCGTCTGGAGCTGGCGCTGGACGCAACACCATGCGGGCCGCCAGATGAACGCGAAGAACTGCACGACCACCTCGTTGCCACTCGTATCCATCATTCCCACCATATAGCTTGGTTTCGGCAGGATCCTCCCGGACTAAGCAATGGCACCCGACTCTGGTGGAGTACGCTGCATGCTTTGGACGAAAAAATTGAACACAAACGCATTGCGGGCGTATTTTATGGCGAAAGGGGTAGAAGCTGGAGATTTTGGGTATAGCGCTAGGATGCATCGTTTTTTTGCTGAGCTGTAGTCGTCTATTACAGTTGCTGAGAAAAACCTGGCAAGCCGAGTTCGGTATATCACATGCTTAAAAATATTTGATCTCAAACGGCTACGACGTGAGGCTGGTCTCTCATAGGATGAAAATGCTACGGCTGAGAGCAGCGTCACAACTTGTACAGCAACCCGCAAACGTGAATGCCACCGTGAATACCCTAGTTGTGGTTAATTCAAACGATGGTGGAACAGTCGCCCAGGAACTGGAACTAGAGCAAATAAGGAGTACATTGGAAGAGGCGAGTGGAAACGCGCAGTACGCCAACTTCACCGCATAGCCCTAAGCAAGCGGAATCAGGCTGTCATGAGGGCTCTGAACCCAATGCCGGTGACCTATTTGGAAGCCAGTCGGTACCTTTACTGGCAGTCTGCCGTATTAATGCGCCAAACTTTACACGGCTGGACGCGCTACTGCACAATGTAGCGCTATCCCAGTCTGGAGAAAAAGAATTGAAGAACGTACTGCAATAGCTAGGGCCTTCATCGACAGACTGATATGCTTCAGATCCGGCCATAATTGGCCAAGGATTATGCGCAGCGTCAGAATGGCGTTTGCTGGGACAAATGTAAGTTTGTCCCAGCCGGATATATCGCAAAAACTGACGGGGCGCATAGAAGACCTGTAGCAGAGAATCGCTTCTTGGGGAAAGCGGATTCGGCGATATACCAAAATGTCGACAAGGTTAAACCAAACTTGTATCTTCCAGAGTGATCAGAAGAGGCTCTATAAATCGAATCCCAGCACCGAATCAGGACGACGCTGTCGCATTCTGGCGTGGTCTGTGCCCGAGCTGCTGCTGTGTGTCAGAGCCCGTAAATTACAGCTAGGGCCCTTGGACGGAAGCTGTGGTGAGTCAGTGTGCGAGTACTACGCCCATGGACCCCGTCATCATAACGCCGGATGACGTAGCTGAGGCGGTCGGCTGCATCACTACTGGCTGAAGGGAATCGTGGTGTGCCATGCTGTGCTCGCCCGACAATTTTAAGAGGCTCTCAACCAGAAGTCGCTCCCAAGCCTCTTCACTACTGGGATGACTCATTTGGTTCCTGAGGTTCAGGGTACCACAGACCCGAGCAGATACCGCTCCATCACGTAGCTATTAACCATATACAAGACACTAACATCCATTTTGATTGCGAGCATCACTCGTCATCTGGACTCAAATCAGGTGATGAATATAATAGTAAAAGGCTCTCCGTACCCACATAATCAAAAAATTTCAGCCAGTCTATGACTTTGCTTTTTACTTCAAAATTATTTAGTGAGCTATTAAGTTTGTTATATAGCCTAGGTGCTAAAAAGTCAAAAATTTATGTAATAAATTTAATTGTATTATTTAATTATATAATAAATTTTGATATAATAATATTAATGTCAAGGCTACTTACAAATCAATACAAAAATACTAAATAAAAAATACAATGATTAAAATAATTAAGGCAATGCAACTCAGAATGTCAATATAATTAAACTATGCATGTCAGACACTAATTTATAGTGGTACATTTACTATAAATATAATCATAATAGCAAAATATTCTAATTACTTCAAAATTTATCATTTAGAAAATCAGTGATGTTGTAATAACATTTACATACTCATATTTAGGTTTCTTTTTCCTTTGGTTGGACCCATGAAAAATATGCTTTTGTGCATTAACTTAGTATTTGATTTACGTATACAAAGTTTATCGTTGTCACGTCGATTATGGCTAACAGCGTAAGATAGCGTTTCAAACAGAGTCAGTCAGTTAGAGGCCAATTTGGTCTTCTCTTCCAAGTGACCACGAATCTGCACGTCACTTGATATGTCGACGCCGAGGATTCCAATACTGGCTGAGGCAAAAAGAGGAGTGCCTTGAAACTGAGGAGATACTACAAAGGAATTCTTTTCAGCGGTTAACGCGCAAACTTTTGTCTTCTGAGGGTTAAACTGGACTAGATTTAGTCGCCCCTATTCCGAGACTTTGTTCAGAAAAGACTCGACTTCAGACACAAGTTCGTTCCGGTACTCGGCAACGTTTTCCTGAGAAATATTTGCACGGCCGGTGTACAGAGCATCGCCAGTGCTGTCATCTGCATAGCAATGAATGTTACGGGTTTGCAACATACATATCATTGATACACAGAAGAAACAGTGTTGGTAATAGAACACAGTCTTGTGGAACACCAGCATTAACAGGCTTGTAATCGGAGCATGCACCGACTACAACGACCTTGATGCTCTGATCTGCAAGAAAGCTGGTGAACCAATTGCACAATTTCTCGGGAATATCATAGGAAAGGAGCTTGAAAAAAGCGCAATGTCTGAACTAAAAACCTTAGCCGATACTGCCTCCACCAATTATACGAGTCAGGTAGACCAGAAGATCACCAGCTGATCGAACCCTACAAAAACCGTGTTGGTGGTCGCTAATCAGCTGCTGATCCTCAAGGTACCGCATGAGCTGACAGTTCATAATGAATCCCATTATTTTGGAGAACAAGGGGGTGATGATGATAGGCCTGTAGTTGGACGGGTCTGAGCGGTCGCTTTTTTAGGGATCGTGTGGCCGAAAGCCGTCTTCCATAATTTTGGGACTACGCCTGGGGAGTATGAGTACCGAAAAAAATCGCAATTTAATTTGCTTAATCCCAGGGCTTCTAAAGCGAATTTGCGAATTTGATTAAGGTTTCACAATGTTTTAAGCCTGGTGTGTCAGATCATAAGTGATTTGTTGTGATAATGAGTTTCAAGGGTCAATCGGGCTAGGCTTTTTGAGATTCGACAAAATGGCTCAGGCCCAAATTGTGTACTGTTTGAGCCCTCCCGCGCGAGTTTTCCGGTAAATTCTTTGCCTACTATACCCGCATGACGCGGAACCCATCTTAAGATGACCCTGTTGTTACATCATAGGGCATTTAAACGGTTCACGTAGTCTCCAACTAGCTTCGACTTCACTAAGTAAGTTTGGCCTCAGCGCTACCAGTGCTGCTTGACTATCAGAGTTTATTTACATTTTATAGTTGACGTAGTGTTTCTGCATATTGATTTCTGCACAATGAAGTATGGCAAAAATTTCTGCCTTGAAGATAGAGGTGAATCTACCCAAATTCATAGTATGTTTAAATTTGGGGCGTTCCCCATAAATTCCAAAGCCTACGTCGAGGCCCATTTTTGACCAATCGATATACCATATGAGGCTACCGACCTCACAGATTACCTGGCCATTCAGCCAGTCTTCTCAAGAGGGTAGTTTCGCTATATACTTTTCATGAAAAGTGTATAATGAACGCATGATATCTGAGATCATGCATAAGACCGGTGTTTCCTTAATTGAGTGGAGCGTGGATCTCAATCTGTAGGAGAGCAAGCTCAAACTGCCCTGGGCGTGAATTCTTTACAAACTAGCCTTCGCATCCTTGTCTAGATAAAGATCAAGGGGCGTTAGATATAGAAGTGCATTAAGAGCCGCTCCAGGCGATTATCGCAAAGCTCCAGTTGCCACGAAGCAGGCAGTCCTTTGTAGACTATTTAGTCTGTTCGCTTATACGTGGTAGAGCCATGCTGCAGTTACTTTAGTAGTATAGTTGTAGCATGAATGGGTCGGCTCGACCGTGGAAGGACCACGCTCTCACAGAATACCAGCGTAAAATAGTAGCTTAATGCTGCTGTATTTCGTATGGTGAGTGTAGAGAACCGGAGACCCTTTTTACTGGAAACGAGGCATTCCATCTTAGTCCTCACGGGTGACAACGCATCTGCATTTTGATTCGTAATCGAGGATAGATGTAGATGTCTATGGGCCACTGCAACCACTTACCATCAGGTGGACTGTGTGCTCGTTTGTCACCCCATCCTATTAAAAAAAAAAAACGTATTTAGAAATAGACGAATAGAGGCGTTGTTGAGAATCGGCCTCAATATGCTGCTGTACAGCCATAGGACTATACTGGGACGTAAGCCCCAGTTGTTCCCGACCGAACAACTGCATGTACCTAAAGCAATTTTTGTCTTATGGCGTACGTTGCCAAAGTACGCCCAAGTACTTAACTTCAGTGAAAATGGTACTTCTTTACCATTGAGTTTTGGTGTGACTAATTTGTCCAACGTTCTCTTTTTGGTAAATGATATTATGACAGTTTTTGTTGTATAACTAACATTTTATGTATTATTGATTTTTCCCGGTACTTTAGTATATAGGATATACAGCGAATGTTTTACAAAGTTGGTGTCTAGCAAAATGACGGATACACTTTTTCTGCTCTGTCGAATTCAACTAGTGCCATTAAATATAGTGTTTTATTCTATTTTATTTGTAGATCACTAGCCTAACTCCATGTAACGTTTTATAGACCACAGCCTGCTAGTCTACGGAAGTGTACAAAAGCGTTCTTATTTTCTAGAATAATTGATAATCACCGCAAGGCTTTACCCGTAGGAGTTTAGTACAACTTCTTTGTCAACCACGTGACAAAAGGATCTATTGAGATAATACCCGCCTATAAAAACAAAAGGGCTATAAGATTATTGCACTAAATCAAATGCAGATTTGAAGGATTCCTTCCTTTATTGCACTGACGCTGCCCGATATCCCGCATTGTAACAGTATTTCACTTGTGTCTACTCCATTTTCCGTGGAAATAAACGAGTGCATAATATTTAGCGACCTCATTTCGTTTATTGGATGTCTTCAGAGGTGACTGCAGAATATTCCAAACAAAGTATAACATCTTTTGCTAGATTGCCGTTTAACAATCTAGTAATATGTTTGATGTGAAATATCAAGACTAGTGACGGAAAGTGGAGTGAAATGTGCGAATTCTGTGCGGGCGTGGTCCTTTTTATTCTTCACCATCAGCCCCAAAAATCTCCACAGCTGAACAATGACCTCCCGTATCAGGAAGGGTTTGCCTCAATCATTCCACTTGGCAGGCGTATCAACGATCATACCACCAGATGTTTTACGTCTTCGACGCTGCTGCCCGTCACCTATCTGCGTATTTTACAGTCTGTTTAAAATTATATATTTGATTCCAATCTTTTTTATATAAATAAAAAATACTTTAGATTTTCCTATTGTATTTATAGAAGAAAAGCGGATGGTGTACAAACGACTACGTCGAGCGTGTGCTTTGGCGTGCGATGTACCGAAAGTAGGAAATATGATTGAAGTGGACGCCATGCTGCCATTAGGCTTCCTGTCTCTCGTAGCCACCTACACAATCGTTCTTCTACAATTTGCTTTTTTGTAATCTATACAATGTTTTAATAATTATTGTAATAATTTGTGTCCATTATCAACTGTCTATTAAAGTGACCATAGAACACTTTAATACATATATAATAGTACGGAGTAGTGGTCGGAGCCCTTGTAGCCACTAACATGTCACTAACATGTCAATTCACACCTATAAATGTCAACACAATCAATCGTTTTCAATTGTCATGTCAAGCGTCGCTGCATGCAAATTATTTAAAAAATGGCAAATTGTGCAATAATTACGTGTCGAAAAAACAGCGGGAAATGGAATTTAAATAAAGGAGACATATCCCACAACCAGTAAGTCGAAATGATTTATATTTTGTAAATATTAGAAACAAAATTAAATAAATATTGACGTGTCAAAAACATGAATCAAAAGTCTAAAATATGTAAAGTCGCTCAGTCTGTCAATACAGCAAATCGGGTTTGTAGTAGTGATAATATGAGTAATTGCTTGTATGTATGCTCCCGGCGACACCAATCCTCGTACAAAATTGGGTAGCAGCCATTCTATTGTGTATATATTCTATGGAAGTATATATTCTATGGAAGTGACAGTAGCCTAATGGTAGAGTGCGAAATCGAAAAGTCACGTATTCATCAAATCCATCATTCGACTACTATCATGAGCCACTCCTAACATAAGTTATCTAAGCTAAAATAAATTCGTCAATTTCACGCCATTTTGGTAATGCAATGGCAAGTCTGATATGAGGGCCAACAGTGTTCCGTAGTATTAAATCCAGTTTCGCTATGGAAAGTCGGATCATTTGTAATAAAGTTTCAGAATCAAATGTTAACATTCGCGTAAAATTCACAAAAGACCCATTAGACGTTCGGAGATCACTTAAAATGTTAATTCACCACCCCCTTCTTTTGCTTACGTTTCACTCCCGAAGTAAGAACTACGTGCGCAGCACTAATTGCCACAACCGCCTAGGGCGACATTACTATAAACACTGACTAGTGTGGCCTGCAAAATGTACCGCAACATGTTGGCCCTTTTGTCCCCAAGTATATCCAAGGCTTTAAAGAAACACTACTTTAGGATCGTGGTGAATGAAACTTGATGAAATGAAAAAGCGACACTTAAAAGAGACAAACATATATATCTATAGGATTTAGCCTGCGAGAGAATAAGACATAATTTAATGTAAAAAATTAGTCGTGTTTAGGCAATCCGGAGGTTATTTTACGTACCACCTTGAGAGTCTATCAATTTTGGTTCGAAATGACTTTTTCCTGTAGAATAAGATAGATGTCGCTGTGTGAAGTAATTTAAATTTAAATAAAATATTCTTTAGATTTTTTTCAGCAAAATTTAGGCTCTACATGTCTAGAAATAATGATTGTTATATCTATTTGCTATAAAAAAATTTTTTATCCTATATTTAATACCGCACTTGGAGTTAAAATGATCATATTAAATAAATTATTTGCCGTAAATTGTTTTTTATTTTATAATGCCTTTCATTTGAAGTTTTGTCTTCTATCGTATGTAAACTACTCACATATTTTTTTTAATAGTTCTGCTGAATCCATTCCTAGTTCTGCCCAGGGCAGTTATCTATCTTCCTATCAAGAGAGAAGGCTAGGTAGAAAATGAGTTCCATCAACTATTATAGACACCGAAAATGAGTTCCGCCAACTATTTTACATAGATTTTAGACAAGATTTATCTGACTAACTGGATGATTTAGCACACAATCTGATTCGAGATACGTGACTTCCGCATGACGGTTGCCCTGCACATTTCAGGAGAAGTGTAAGATAAAAACTAGAGCCAAGTGATAAATTTGAGGCTGTTATTTTTGCTGAGGCTGAGATTGTTATTTTTTATACTACCTGTTAGCGTTTCATCTAAGTTTTTTCTAAGAATTCTCGTAATACCTGATATTCTTATGCCTTTTTGGATAGCTAAAGAGACGAAGATTATTAGCACCAGTTTTCAATAGGCAGGGTTGGCATGATTCAAAATAAGTTGTTTTAAAACACGTGTTCAAAATAGGTTTTAAAACAGTTTGATATAAAACTTTTTTTTATTAATTGAAAAACAGTTTAACACAATTGATTAAAACTATTTTTACGGATTTTATCGCGTTTATTTTACTATTATTTTTAATTCCCGACGTTTCGGGCGCTTTCCAGCACCCATGGTCACGGGGGACTGAGATGACTGACGTCCCGATGTCATTGTTAAACCAGTAACGTTGATGCTTCACATCAGCTATATGCAGTAAGAATCAACGTTCCGGGAAGTCTGCAGTTTGCGATCATATCCTAGCCGGCCCCGAAACTCATTACATCAGATTACAGTTCGTGTAAATATAAGAAATCATTATGGAAATCATTAGTTTAACACAAGTTTCAGTGTACAAAACAATAAGAACAAAACAGGATTTATATACATACACATATTACATATATTACTAACTAAATGTTATTTAACTACTTTTAAATTTTTTAAATGGAACTGAATGGAAGTAAACGAAAACAAATAAATAATCTAGACACAAAATAGCTTGCAATAAATTTACAAGTTAAGTTTATGTGGTGTTTTTCATTTAAATTAGGTATTATAAGAAAAAAATTATTTGAAAATTGTAATTAAGACTTTATTTAATTAGAAGAAATTTATTTAATCATAGACAAACAAAACAGTAACAATTAATATTATGAATTATAATTAAGTAGGTATCATTAATTAACCATTTGTGACACAATATAACAACTATTTTTAAAATACATTAAATTAAATGTTGAAAAATTAAATAAAAACAATTTTAATGAATTAATAAAAGATAAAGCTTCAGAAATATTTTCGCCCTTGTATTTAGGATATGTAGCAAGTTTCCAGGGAATACTCGAACTCACGCTGTCGTATGGTCTCCCCTATTTCACAAGTCACTTTGCTAATACAGTACCAGCAGATGTCTACGAGAGATGTCAAGTGTAACTGCAATATTTTCCGGTTTCTTGCGGAGGACCTGGGCTTGTTTCTTCAGCGCCATGTTATTTACTTTCATAGAAATTGACAAACCTATATCAGTTGCATTTTCCAAAAAACTTTTAGGCAGTCAGCTATTGTGTTCCACCGTACCTGTTGTGGTATAACAATTGCTTTTCCATCAGCTTATTTGCATTTTGCAGATGCTAAGTGATTGTATTTAAAGTACCCTATTATTGATTTCACTTTCTCAATAATATCTTTTGCATTCAAGTCCTTCGCTTAAAGGTTTAATATTTATGATCAACATCTCATCAACTGTATGTATGAGTATCCTTATGAGACGCTAATTCATCCTGTTGAGTCAAATCTTGTCTCATACGGCTTATATTTGCTACATTATCTGACACTACGCTTCACATCGTTCATTTGAAAGTTTCACATTGTTTTTTTACACCAGGATTTTACACCAGGATTTTACACCAGGAAGTCGCTCCGAAATACGGTCTCATGGATCGTAAACTGCCTTTTTATAAGTACTTTCCAGACTCGAGAATGATCGCGCCAGGCTCACAGGACTATTTTTGCGAATAAACTTGATACTGTGCTGATGGATCGGGAATAGTCAAGGATAGTTTATGTCAACATTACCATTCCGTATGACGAGAACTTCGTGAAAGCTGAAACAGATAAGCAAACAAAATAGACCCACGAGGTGGCCGAAATTTGGCTTTTTATTGGTTGATACTCATCTTCCCTACGTAAGATAAGTTGAAGGTCGCGATCTTCCTCAGCAACATATATCTGACGGTACATTTTTTAAATATCAGCTGTAAGGAGATATTTGTATTGGCGGGCTTTTAAAGAGAATGGCAAAGCGATAGTCCTGAACGGTAGGACCCACTTTAAGCATGTTGTTTAACGAAGAGCCCGAGGAAGTGGGAGCTGATCCATCAAACACTATTCAAATTTTTGTTGATTAGCTATCTGCCTTAAAAACCACATGATGACAAAGATAGTATTTAATAGTAGGCCATATATATACATATTGACAATAATAGCAAGATGACCTAAATTTGCATACTTCTATATAAATTGTGAATATTGTAGTTTTAGATTTCTATCCCTTGTAACTCGTTTCTCTAAGTTATGAAACAGTTTTTTCACTAAATTTTATGAGTTTCCACTACAATCTGGCGAGTCAGTTAGAGGCAATTTAACACAAAACCTACCATCCAAGAGTCTTGTTTTTTTTAAAGTGTTGTTCGCATTTGAATTCTGGTTTAATACAATTAGGCATTGGAGGCAGCTTTTCAAGTTCTCAGAATTTCCTAAGCAGTTCATCGTTAATTTCTTGCAATAGAGTTAAGCCTTTATTTTGATTTGTAATTATGTGTTTGCAATGAGTTTTATTGTTTTTTTGCCTTTGCTTAGTAGAATTGAATGGTATATGACTGGCAATCAGCCATCTAAGGTAAGAACTTAATAACTTAGGCCTATTAAAACCTAAGAATCTTTGCTCACTTTTCAAAATGTCCCAAATGATCTCAGCTCCGATCAGCATGTGAATGGAAGATGGCTGATCGAAGGACGGGTCTACCAATTAAATATGAGTTGGTAGGTTTAATTATTGTATATTAAAAGAGTACCTTGGTAAATCGCTTGTTATTTCATTAATAACATAACATGAAATTTTAATATTATAAGTTGTACATGCATTGACTGTATTTTTGCAACACAAGATCCTTTAACAGTACTTAAAGAGCTGCTTCCAATACCAATGACATTCAACTGAATAGAATTAGAGTGTAATGATAGCTTATTTATAATTGCTTAGTTATAAAGGATGACTGACTGCCACAGTCTAACAGAGCAAGAATCGTCTCAAATTAATTTGTCATTGGATTCATCACCTTGATTAACGCTGTTGACAAAAGTATATGATTAGTCTCAGGATTGCAAACATAGACCATAGATTAATTACGTGAATTATCGTTATCGTCGTTCTGTGTATTATTGATAGAAGTGTTGTTGCAATTGTT